GCTGGGGCCCTACGGAACAGCGGGCGTTTGATGAGATTCGGGAAATAGTTTGTGCTCACCGCGACGTTAATCGTGTTGCCATGAGGTACGGCCCTGACGCTTCCCCGGTCCATGTCGTCACTGATGGGTGTTTGACCGGTGTAGGTGGTTGCATCCTTCAGGGGCCTGATTGGAGGAATGCGGCGGTCGTTGTGTTCTATTCCGCGAAGTTGTCAGCTGCACAGCAGAACTATGCCGTACATGAAATCGAATTGCTTGCGGGCCTTGAAACCATGCTGAGGTATCGCGAATTGTTACTGGGCGTGGCGTTTACGTGGTATACCGATCATAAAGGCTTGATTCACTTCATGAACCAAAAGAACCTGACGGGTCGTCAGGCGCGTTGGCTGGAAAAGCTGTCTGAATTCAATTTCCGAATTGAATACGTACCGGGGCTGGAGAATGAACTTGCGGATGCCCTTTCTCGCATCTATGCGGCAGACGAGCCGGGCCTGGTACGGACTCGAGCTGAGATGGTGCAGAACGACGAAGATCACCCACCTCGTGGTGATCGCGATATGGCGATTTTGACGGGCCTGGAAGCGCGCATGGCCACCTTGCGTCCCCGGTTGCCAAAGCCGCCGTTGACGCTTGAGCCAGCGCTGCGGCCGCCTCCGCGGCCCCTTGGTATACCAGTGCCGAAGGCGGCGACACGACCACGGGCGCGGTCGCGTAACCAGCTCGAGTCCGCCGATACCGGACGTCCTGAAACGGCGAAGGAATTCGCCAAACGCATCAAAAAGGTGACGCTGATCGTCCCTGAACAGCGTCAGGAGGGCGGGTTGGGCAACAAAGAGCCGGTAATTGAGGCGAGCGCCGATCAATCCAGTATTGATGGTGATCCGGTAGAAGTGACAGATCCTGTCCAAGAGCCGATACCGCCTTTGTTCATCGATGTAGTTTGTGAATACGAGGACGGAAATGCGATACCTGATAGTCTTCGTGGGCGATATGGAGAGGATCCATTCTTCAAACTGATACTCGAGGCTCCCGGGCAGTATAAAAACTTCATACTTGAAGACGGAGTACTGTACCTAAAGGACGGCGGCACTAAACTATTATGCGTACCAGACTGCATGATAGGGGCGCGTCGGGTGCGAGAAATGATCATCGCGCGTGCGCACTCGACGCTAGCTCACCTTGGACCCTCGAAGACAGTAGCGTATATTCGAAGTGCTGTCTGGTGGAAGTCGATGGTCCCTGACGTACGCGCATTCTGCGAAACCTGTGTGACCTGTCGTCGGAGTAAACCTAATAACCAGAAGCCATATGGGCTGCTGAACCCACTGCCGGTGCCCGCTCAGCCTTGGGAGGCTATCGGAATCGATTTCGTCGGACCACTACCTGTCTCTAAGGATCGGGATGCCTCGTATGACGAGATTACGGTGATAATTGACTTACTCTCGGGGCGCGTCCATTTAGTGCCCAGTAGGCAAGACTACCGAGCGAAGGATATTGCCGAGCTCATCTTCGCGGAGATCTATAGGCTGCATGGGTTACCGCGGTGTATTGTGAGCGACCGCGATGTCCTATTTACCAGTACATTTTGGCAGCATCTAAACAAGATGTTAGGAGTTAAATTGTCCATGTCGAGCGCTTACCATCCGGAAAGCGATGGATCAACCGAACGGGCCAATAGGACGATAACCCAAATGATCCGGGCGTGCGTAAGCCCAGATCAGAAGGACTGGGTATCTAAATTGCCTGGGATCGAGTTCGCTATCAACTCGGCTCGGTCTGAAAGCACAGGGTACGCACCGTTTTTCCTAGACACGGGTCGCATGCCACGTTCATTGATATGGGACCAACCGTCAACGCCTGAGTATCCGGGGGTGCGCGTATTCGCGCAGCGAATGAAATCTGCCATCATGGCTGCCCATGATGCGATACTAGAGGCCCGAGTTAAACAGACTAGACTAGCCAACCGACATCGCAGACCGGCGCCGTTCGTGGTTGGCGATATGGTCTATATATCGACTAAGAACATCAGCTTCCCAAAGGGACGGGCTCGAAAACTCATACCTAAGTTTATTGGCCCATACCATATTTCTAAGGACTTCGGTAACAATTCATATCGGGTGGATCTCCCGTCGCGATTGATACAGCGCGGTGTGCATCCCGTGTTTCACTCATCCCTGTTACGTGTCCATGTGGCGAATGACGATCGATTGTTCCCTGGGCGGTCGGAAACGCAGGTCGCTGACTTCGGCGAAGACAGGTCCGAATGGGCCGTGGATAAGATCCTAGCGCATAAAGGGAAAGGGTTAGCGTCGGTGTTCGAGATTAAATGGAAGGCTGGAGACGTTACCTGGCTTCCGTTCGACAAAGTAGACGGCCTTGAACAGCTGAAGCTGTATCTAGACGAACAGGGCGTGAACACCGCAGCTGACCTACCTGAAGGAACCGGGCGGATCGCGGTTGATGATCCGCAGATCTTCGCCGGGGTGATAATGATCACTGGCGACTGGGACAACGGATGCCCCGGAGGGCGCACATATAAGGAAGCACTCTGCAAGGGTGATCAGTCCGCCGAAAGTCACTTTATTGCTCACCTGCACCAATCGCATACTCAGAACTCTATTCACCCACCGATGGCCCAAGACGTCGACGACGCTGACCGCTTCATCGACGTCTACAGAGGGATCGTGTTCGACACGCGCGATCTCACCTTCGTCGTCGACAACTTTCCCCGCCCTGTGGTCGGCTGTCCTTTCACCCGGTACAAGCTCGATGTCGTCGAATCGTACCTGGAGGCTGACGACTCGATGCGCGATGGTACATTCTCGTTTGAGCTCGGCTCGCTCCCGCCGGGCTATCGCGAGCTCCGTACGACGCTGTACAGTCTCGTCGATCCGAAGACTGCGTCGCTGTGTCTGGTCGACGAGGACATCCGTCAAGATCAAGGTTTCAGTCTGGAGTGCGATGGACCATCGCCGCGGTCGATCCTATTCCCACAGAAGGTCCTTGACGCTATCGAGACTCGGCGTCGTGACCTGGGAGCGATGAGCGGTGGAGGGACCGTCGATAAGCCGAAGGCGGGGGCAGATAAGAGGCCGGCTGACGAAGGCACTGGCGAGGGCAGCAGGAAGAAGAAGAAGAAGAAGACTAAAGCCCCCATGGTGGCATCGGAGGCTGAGGGGTCGAAGAAGACGCCCGTGGGTGAGGAGAAGGCGGTCAAGGCTGTTACCGCGGGATCATCAGCGGGAGGAGGGACTCTAGCGGGCGGAGTGGAGGATCTACTCGGGCTCGGTGGAGCGAATAGCAAGGTCATCGCTTACGCCCTACTGAAGACTGCGAGGGGCGTCATGATCGGCGAGGAGAAGCGTAACGAGAAGCGCAAGATGAAGGAGCGCGAGGCGCGCTGAAGGAGCGTCGGGGTTTTTCCTTTTTGGTCAAAGCGGTTCCCACTTTGGGAGGGCGGATGTAACGTGCCGGTTCTCCCGGGGGTCGGACCGAGGCTATCTTTCCTTTTCGAGCAGTCGGCGCGGCGCGCCGTTACCCCTTTTGATTATCATTCTACTACCACATGCTCCATCTGACGACGACGAGGGTATAAAGTCAAGCTACCTCGTCGTCTGGAGCTCACCTTTTGGTACCCTATTCTACCTTACTCGAGTGCTCAAATACGAGATCTGTGACTCTCTGCTTTTGTGCCGCTCGAGAACCTAACCGTGTGAACGCACCTTAGCCTAATCAGGCTTTGCTCGCGTCACACTGTGCTCCCTCGGTCTAGGAGCGGATCACTCCATGATCGCCACGCACCGCAAGCCCGAGCTCGAGAAACCACCCTGTGAAGACAACTACGACCTTCATCTTCCCTGCAGCGAGTTCGCGAGCGTGCTCAGCGTGCGCGCGCTTGGCGAGCCAGTCTTCGTGGTCAAACCCCGGGAAATCGTTCGCCCGATGGTCGCTATCCACAATCACCGTGAGCGATTCGATGGTGCAAAGAGGTCTGAGGACACTTACACTCCGTACTCGCTTGGGAAGTAGACTTGAACCCCAGCGGCCAGTGCCGATCTCAGGAGTACCTCCTTCTCCCCACCAGATGCGCTTCCGCTCAGCGCACTGACGAGGATGTCGACGTCTTGCAACGCTGATTTGAGGCCTTCTTCGGTCCACTGAAGAATCTCCTTCACTTCCGCGCCTTGAGACGCGAGCGCGCGCGCGTTGGGCGACGTTTCATTGCGAGTGAGGCATACCACGCGAAAGAACGACTTGTATTCCGAGAGGAATGTGGACGCGACGACGCTGCCTGCCTACATCAGCCCTCTGACTGTACCACGAGGTGCAAGGCGTTGACGTACCTAATCTACCCGTGGAGCCTGCGATGGCAACACCAAACCGACCACGACTCAGTCGTGCGGATGTTGTCCAAGACATATTCTGTCGAGTAGCACTAGCCGGTGCGTATAAGATACAGATGAGTAAGTGGTTGTCCCGTGGAGATTACATTGAGAGACCCGCGGATGGAGGAGCCGTCAATCTGATGGCTCCAGAAACGACGGCGCTTGGAGAATGTAAGGGTAGAATAGACTTACCCTTAAGTAATTAGTCAGCCGCTCAAAGCGGCTTGATGCAATCACTTACCACCGCGTCCTATTGGACGCGGGCAACACTTATGACAAAGCGGGCGCCCAGTACCATATGGCGCCCCTTTAACTACACGGCCAGACAAGATGACGGTGGAAACCACGTTTATCAGTGCAGCGTCATTTCCACACGCATGATTCAGCCGTATTCCACGGGATTGGCGCGCAGTGGCAATCCATCACCGGAGCACAAGAAACCATCCTGGCTGCCCTGTGGAATCCATAATTCGGCTATCGAGGTCAATAGACATATCCGGTAGGTCGTTTCCACGTTCTCTCTGCTGTGGACGCCATCGGTTTTGTTATGGACACGATTTTTCCTTCTCGCAATGTATTGAACTGTACATATGATGTAGCATAGGTATAATATGTCTAATTGACGGTTACATCGAGCCCGAATGCCTCATCGTCCGCGCCGTTCGTGTCAAAATCGAAGGCTTGGTCCGTTTCGCCGTCGAAATCCATGTTGTAGAACTCGGCATCAACGGTGTTCTTATACTTGGCTTGATCGGCCGCAATGTACTCCTCGTCGCATCTGTTTTGGACATCGAGTAAACATCGCGAAGAGCTGGCTATCTGACGTACTGTTTCCATTCATCCGACTGTTTGTTCGTTCCATGCTTCGCTTCGAGCTCCCGCAGTTTCGTTTCCACGGCGCTCCAGAAGTCTTTGATCAGCTTCTTGCGCTTCTGCTCAGCAATATCAGACTGTACTGACTGTCAGTATTCGAGTCATGGAGAAATCCGTGATGGGCTTACCAGCAACGCAACACGAGCCATGATCGAACGAGGTGCCACCACCGGTCTCGGAGACATATGCCAGGGAAGGATAACGTCCTTGACGTAGGCATCGAGAGCGTGTCCTTTCTCGACGCGGGCGATTATCTATAATGAGTTGTAGTAGACTCGTCTAGCAGGACATAATAGACACACCTTCTTGTGAAACGCGGCTTTGATCTGCGTTGTCTGGTGATTCAGGAATTCGTTGACGTGTGTGCGTATGCCGGGGGATTTCGCGTATTCCGGGATCTTAAGCTTTTCGGCATATTTGATGATCTTCGGCTATCCGTCGTGGTGAGCATTGACTAGGAGTGACATCCACGTAATGCTCACCTCCATGTTCTTCGAGATCTTCTTGTATGTACCAAGCGGGCGTATCATGTTGTGTTTGATGTAGTTCTTCAGCGTCCGCTGGAGACAACACGTGTCAATCAGGAGTGTCTCGTAACCTCAAATGTACGCACTTGCTGATTCGGCGCCAACTGGTACGCACGCTCCATGTAGACATCCAGCTGGCTCAGCCGGCTGTCAATCTTTGCCATCGCTGAATTTATTTCTTTCACCGAACACTCGTTTCGGACCATGCGCGCGAATAACATGATCATCCGCGTGTCATAGTCGGCCTGTACACATCCCAGATGAGTAAGGATAACATTCAACACAGGAAAGAGCACTTGCCTGCACAAAATGGTGGACGTCTTCACGAGACGACCCCATGAGCCCAAATGAGTCCAGGATCCGGTCGGTCGTAGCAGCCGTAATCGACGTGCGGACTTGTGGTAACTCATTTCCATGGCCACCTGAAGATGGCATGTAAGAAAAGGACATGTCATATGGCGCTTGAGGCCCATAGTTGAAGTGCGGCTGTGGGCGTGTCGTGACGGTCGCCGGAGTCTGCGGATTAGCCGTGGACCTCATATGCATGTAACCAGGGGCGATAGGAGGTAGCTCAGGCATCCCCTGACGCATAGCGATGCGACTGTCTGATGCCAAGTTGTGATCCCGAGTTTCGGCGGCGAGGGAGTCTACGGACACAGACCGGCTCAGGGTACCAGCGTCGGCGGATCTGGCAGGAAACCCAGCCGGATTATCACCTATTCTTCCTGAGGAAACCGAAGATTGCGTGGAACTGAAGGGTTCGTTAGTTCTTGAATGCAGGGAAGGAGTCTCCGACAGGGAAAGACGATAAGTGGGGCTTGGAGTCCGGCGTACGCGTTGAGCCGGATGTAAATATGGGGAGTATCGAGGCGATGAAGAGTGGCTTGCGTGCTCAGATTGCGTGGTTTGCATGTCCGTAAGTGTGCTGGCAAGACGTTGGAGATGAAACTGGTGCAGAGTCGCGGTTCAACTTGTGCCAACTCAGCTGTTCAACATGGTAACGTGATTCACGTGTCTGTCAGCGCGACACGTCTCAAATCCACAGCGTGGGCTATCGAGCAAAAGATATTCGTGCTCCTTCATGGTCAATTGAGAGAAGATAATCTGGTAACGTACAAACTGCAAGCGATGCTTCTGAGTGGGCCAATATATGTCGCAAGTATGAAGTCAAATAACAGAGCAAGGTGTCAGATACACGAGTCAAGTCCGCACAATGATCCATCGAGTTGTCAGGGACGAGAGGAGACGTCAAAGTCAAAGCGAGAACAGGATGTTCATGAGAAGAAATGCCTGCGGGAAGGCGCTGTTCCGGAATGCCCGTTCACACCGGGAACACGAGGCGAGGTGGGAGACCAAAGCCCAAATTTGTGATGGTCAAAGGGTGAAGCCTCCGAGGATGTGCGCTGTTCATGGTCAACGCCGCTCTCGCTCTTCAGTTCCAAGGACCTCTGCACGTCGATCCCGGGCCTGATTACTCTCTGTGTTGGTTGGCCATGCTGCCAGGATATGATGGATCAAATCGTGCGCTTGCGACCATACTTGCAGCCGTCGAACTCGTCGCAGACATGTGAGCAGGGCCACCAACTGGAATCGATGTTGCCGGCTGTGTTCGAGCACGTTTGTGTGGGCGCGATGGTGTCCGAGGTTCAAGCATGTCGGGTGGCATAGTTTGGGCATGCAGGGACGGAAATGTGGCAGGCAATGGCATCGACAAGGAGACGTGGGCGTTGGTGATCATAGAGCTGTCGTCCGTCATACTTGATCGCTTTGGCTGGCTTTGCTCCCTGCGCCGCTGATTCTCTTCCTCTTTGCGCCGCTTGGATTTCTCTTTTTCGGCTTCCTTCCACCTCCGCATCTCATCCTTGCGTCTCTGCGCCTCTTCTTTCTGCCTCCGCATATCCTCTTTTCGCTGCTGCGCCTCGAGCTTCTTTTGGGCCGCCTCGTCTTTGCGCTGCCTCGCCTCTTGCTTCTTCCGTTGTACGTCTAATTTCTTCGCAGCTGCCTCCGCTTCCCTCTCTTTAATGACCTGTGCAGCTTCTGCAGCGGCCTGATGCTGTAATTCTAGTGCTGTCTCTGCTGCACTTGATCGATCAAGGCAAGGATATCGCACTCGTGCATGTATGCACGCGATTGCCTCTGAATTGCGCAGTAGTGCAGTGTTCAGTACAAGGTCATCGGGTGATGTCGAGTGGTCGATTCCATGTGTAAGTTTGTTGGTCAGTCTTCGCTCCTGGATGACTGGCCGAATCTGACGTATTTCACAGCCGTGCATACTGCAGTTATGATGTACGTGCACCGCGCCAATGATCATCTGCAAGATTTCATGAGACTAAGCAAATGCAAGACCCAGGCTGCTGCGTACCTCCTTTCGCAGGAATATGAGGTCAGATACGCTCTCCATGATGCGGGGCATTCGGTATGGCATAACTATCTCGCCGACTGTCCATGGCTTGACGAGAACTCCCAGAACGACTCCTTGATTGTTACTGATTAAGATTTCTTCGATCCGGCCCAGAGAGTAGTCGCTCCGAATGCGATAGACCAAGAACTTGTGACGATGAAGTACGTCCCCATTTGCAATATGGAGAGTCGTCCCCCGAATGAGCTCGTTGCGTGGCAGACGAATGATCGCTTCGATCTGTGGCCATATGTGGGCTAATCCATCCTGTTCATTGCGCGGCATTGGACGATAGGTACCTGCAATCACAGTCTTAGATCCAGATCACTGACAAGTTCTCTAGGGACGTACAAGTTTGTCCATACTTGTCATCGGACAAGTTCATCAAACGGCAAAATTGAGCGTCGCTGATAAGCTCGAGGACGGCAGGTCCTGCCTGCTGGCGGACAATTGCACCACAATTTTGGGCTTCAACATATCCCCCAAGAACCAAGTGCCTCACTGCGTGGGTATTACTGAGTGCGTTCGCGATGTCTAGGCTTGGTGCGTGACGGTTCGAATGAACACTGCGCTGACGGATGACTGCGTTGTAAGATTCAAATCCTTCGGTTGCATAGATGATCGCAGGGCCGAAACGCCGGATGTGAACAGGAATGTGAACGAAGAGGTGGAACTTTGGTTTATTGAACCATTGTGGATTCCAAAGTGCCGTCGATGCAAGGAAGTCGAGAATGGCGTCCTCCAAGTTCGCCTGTAGTTTTTCTGGTAAGCTTCTGCGAGCCTCAATCTTTTGACAGGTGAACTCGCCATGTATTTATCGATATCACTAATTTCTGGTTGATAGAGCAGCGGCGCAAGCCGAACGAGGGATAACCAAGCCTCATATGCACGCTTTGGAATCATATTGATCAGAATAAAAGGAGCCATTTCCAATATCACCCGGAAGTCGCGCCCCACTAGCGATCCAGCATAATGAACCAAGATATGACCTTCTGGAGGTTTGATGCTGAGTCCCCCTGAGTCCACGCTATTGATTCTTGCTATCAGTTTTTTGCGGCCTTCGGAATCCTGCCGGGAGACAGCATCGCGCCACCAATATTTCACGACACCGAGAAGAACGACGTGGAGTAGTTCGACTGGTGAGTCCGCATGTGGGTCAAAATCTGTGGAGTCTAATATCAGCAGTGCTTTACAGAGCTGCTAACGTGTTAGGACGCACCGTCAACCATCAACGCAGGGTTGAAGAGATTAGCAGGAAGACTGTGACGCATGGCCTGCAAGGCGGAGGCAATCTCGGTGTCCGTGGACATTCTCTCGCCCCGTGAACTGTTCTTTAAATCATCTTTGATCTTGCGACACTTTTCCGAGAGCTGATCGATGAAATGCTGTAGATATTTGTCTTTCGTTCCTGTCTCGGTCGCCATATGATTGACGGCACTTGGAGCACCTTCAAGAACTCTCTTGAGTTGCGCCTCCAGGTTTCGGATCGTCTCTGCCTTGCTTCGCGGTACGCCAGGCTATTGTCATGGGTACGTCAGGCAGTATACCAATTATTGATACGATCTCATACCTTAAGGAAGTCTTCCAGCCTCTGCAGCTCGCCAGCATGTCCGGGAGGCCGCTGGCTCGAATCGGATCCGAAGGCATGACATATCCGGCAGAAATACTTGCCCTTCATGCCAATGTGCGACGCAAACTCGCTCGCCATCGGATTATCCCCTTGAAAGGCAAGTACCCACGGAACTAACAGGATCTCTTCATCTAACAAACAATCCCAGACCGGTATCCCATCCTCGCCACCTTTCTGGATCGTAAAGATAATGTATTCCATCATCTCAAGCGGTGGCGCGATGTTCGATGTCGAAAGAAAGTGGATGTTCGAGAGGTTCTGAATTTTACGTCTTGGTAAACCGGCAAAGGTGAGTAGCACAGAATTGTGCTTGTTCCATTTTTTTGAAACATTGCCTGATGTATCATCGCAGTATAGCCACAAAGGTAGACTGTGGACCCGTCGACCGGCTGCTTTAACACGCCAATTATTACGCAACGGGATGTCGCATGGAACGGTGCGATAACAGCCATTTTCGTCGCGAAGCAGAGTCCCTACCTGAAGTTCAATGACTGGAACGTTGACCAGGACTGAACATGTTTCTCACCTTCAATTTTGACAGGTTGATAGAGGCCATAACGGGCACACACCTCCGGGGAGTCAAGTTCATCTACTGAGAGGAGGAACGAGGTGAGCGGAACCTCTCGTTTGTTGTCCGCAATATCGACAATGAAGTGTCCGGGATCCGATCCATTGAAGACGTCGCTGACTTCCGCCCATAAGGTGTTTTTTCGGGAAAACCAACGTCGGATATAGACAAGTGATCCGTCTGAGAGCCCGTTTGTGACAAGCGCGAGCTCATCGACATAATAATCCCTCCCGGAAATAGGATCACGAGCCATTGGTGCTGCACGGTTTGCGTTAACTTCGTGTCTCCATTTGTCCCCCTGTCAACACTCTCGACGAAGAACACCAGCATCCTCCGGATAGCGCTGGATCTCCTTGGCAATGCATGGGTTTGCAAACTCCTTTCAAAACGCCGCTGTTTGGTTATACAGAGATCTCATGAATGCAGCCGTATGACTCACGTGTTGGATGATTCTTTCCAGGTCTTCGACGACGTACAAGTGCCCAAGATTGCCTTGGTGCATCTGAGGATTGATGCCGGCTACTCGCTGGATGTCTCGGCGATATCTCTTCACCCGCTTGACTGAAGGGATTCGGGTTGCACCATTTTTTTCCGCAAACCATTTCGCACCCTCCAGGCCGGATTCGGATATTGAAGCACGAGGAAATGCCGACATGATATCCATTGTACAGGCCTGATGCGCACGAGGTTAGCTATGCTTTTGTCTAACCTTTTCTATTCACTCACTCCACGACCCGCCCATGGCCAGTATCGCTCATCATCATACTCTGCATCTATGCCCGCGGGAAGTGGTTCATCGTCATCATCCAAGTCATTGACAGCGGCTGGCCAACCGGTCTGATCCTCCAGCCATGGATTTTCTTCCTCAACCTCATCGGCGATGGACTCTGGTAAGATATCACGCTTTCGCAACAGAACAGGTTTTGACGATGCTAGGCTGCCACCCCAGTCATCGTAAATGGTGTCTGGAGGATCTGAGTCGAGTGCTGGTCCATGAACAGAAGGAGGGGATCCAGGAATCGACTCTGCATCACCTATCGGCCCCGTCCAATGGTCGCATCATGGGGAGTCTGGTAACAGAAGATGGTTGGTTGAGGACAGCCAGGGATCAGTTTCGTCAAGAAGCTGATTGTTGATGGCAGGCTCCTGTGGATCCAACGAATGCAGGGTATAACTTGGCGAGAGTGTTGACTCAAGAGCTTGTGTCCAGTCATCTTGCGGATCGACGGCGCTATGAAAGGGGCTGGAGGTCAAGATAGGGGTATCGCGGGCACGAACAGCACAGGTGTGTTCGTCTGTATATTCGTGTCGTTGTGCCTTTGCCAGGTTCATTGGCTGACGCTGTGAGGGGCAGATTGTGCATGTAAATGTGTTCATTGGCCCATGTATGAAGACTGCAAAACTGGTGAGTGTGTCGACTGGGTTATGTCTGACTTTCCACTCACGCGATGGGTTCAGCAATGTGACGGGCCTGTATTCAACGATCTCGTCAAGATCCGGCAGCCCGAAGTCCATGATGAACACCAAGGAGGCTCCTGAGGGTCGAGAGGCGATGACTGCGGCGGCACACCCGCATTCGGAGGTCACCGGCTTTTCATCTTTTCACTCCTGTTTCACCGATTTGCCACTCTCTTTGACTCACTGCTGCATCGTTCGAAGGTAAGTCATTGCATATTCATTGATTCACGGGACCTCTAATGTGCCCAACAGCCTTCTGGACTCGAATACGATGTCTTCGAAGTCTAACGAGACAGGAGGTCGCAAGTAAGCTCCACCTCCTGGCCGAAAGTTGGTGAGGCGTGTTACACATGCACGCAAGTCATCACCGCACACGGGGTTGTTGGAGGCATCCAAAGGTACGTTGTAGTGGACATGGCATGCGGATAACGCTCAACGACTTGCGAATGCAGCGGAGGGCACCGTTGCCATTGATATGTCCGCGATCGAAGACCCCGCACCATCCGAGCCGGTTCAGGCCCAAACAGGCGTTCCCGACATGCCCCCTGCAGTGCCGGCAGGAGCGTCATCTGCGTCGGCTCAGGGCGAAGTCAACTTGTCGGTCCACACCTTGAAGCTCTTGCCAATGACCGGTGATGAGACCCCGTCCATCGACACACAAGCAATGAACAGCCCTCGCACATTGAGGGCAACAATGTCTGCTCAAGGTTTGTCATTGTGAACATCACATGCGGATAACACTCAACGACTTGCAAATGTAGCGGAGGGCACCGTTGCCGTCGATGTATCTGCGATCGAAGACCCGGCACTATACGAGCAGCCCTAGTGACTGTTTCAATAGAAGTATCCCAGCAGTTGCCACAAAAGTGTCATGTAGAAAACGCAGTTGTCTACCTCAACTATAAAACACAGCAAAATCTGCACTGTCGACACAGTCAAAGGAGACCGTGGCAATGCGCGTGATATCACACTTGTGCTATATACTGCAGCACCCGCAGGCAAGCGCAGCAACAGCCTCGACTATATATTGCACCAAGTAGCGTTGGTTGCTCCTGACCGTGATGCACTGCCACCAAATAAAGAGCATGCACAGGCAGCCACCTTCTCTGCAATCTCATCAACACACTTCAGCAAAGATTGGCAAGCACAGCATCGCTACGAGGATCTGCAATGCACGCTCAGCGGTCACTTCGTCACATATCCCAGCTATGCCTACACTGCCGCCGCCTCACTCATGCGGAATGGGGCCGCATACACCCACCGCGTCGGAGAACATATCCCAGTAAGCACCGCATCTGCTACGAGGACCTGACGCGCACCGGTAGCGCTCGCTCGCTCATATACTCCAGCTACCTCTACACTGCCGCGGCCTCGCTCGACCTCAATGGATCCACATATATCAATTGGCTCGTCACATATACTCCGGTAAGGGCCGCACCGCATCGCCGCGTACGCGCTCCGTTTGCTTCTCTACGCACCCCAGCTACGTCTACACTGCCGCCGCCTCGCTCACGCGGAATGGGGCCGCATACACCCACCGCGTCCAAGAACATATCCCGGTAAGCACCGCATCTGCTACGAGGACCTGACGCGCACCGGTAGCCCTCGCTTGGTCATATATCCCAGCTACCTCTACACTGTTGCCGCCTTGCTCGACCTGAATGGGGCCCACATATGCCCACCGCGTCTGAGGACATATCCCGGTAAGCAACACATCCACTACGAGGACCTGCTGCGCACGCACAGCACTCGCTTCCTTCGTACATACCCTGGTAAGCACTGCATTGGCTTTCAGGACCTGCTGCGCATGCGCTACCGTCGTTTTGTCAAATACCTCAACTACCTTTACACTTTGCTGACTCGTCCAATCTATGGGGTTGCACACATCCAGCTAATCTTCGTATTTACCCTGTTAAGTGCCGCATTTGCTATTAGGAGCTACTGCGCATACGCAGCGTTCGCTGCGTCAAATATCCCAGCTACGTCTGCACTGCGCCGACACGCTCGATTCAAGTGGAACCGCACACATTGTTCCCTGTGCATATTCGCTAGCACGTGCACGCGCTGCAGGGATTTGTTGATGATGTCCGGACGCCGCTTCATTCACATATTCCAGCTGCGTTTATACAGCCACCGCTCCCGTACAATTATTACATCCGCGATCGGGTACGTCATTTCCGTTGTCTCGCACACATACTTCGTTAAAAACTGCAACTCATCCAGACGACTTGTTGTTCGCAACGGTTGCTCCAAGGAAACACCCCAAGCACCTTACACCGTCGTTATCCCTGTTCGGTTTCGTGATCGCGAGCGCACATTTTCAATGCAATGCTCCGGTAGGTTTGATTGCGTTGTTACTGAGTTCGTATAGTTGTGATCGGTATGATCGCCGCGAGGGCGTATTGCGGCTGTTCGTAGGTAGGTAGGTAGGTAGGTAGGTAGGTAGGTAGGTAGGTAGGTAGGGTGGACTCTCTGATTCGATGTGGATCGGCTATTCTATCGAGTTAGATCTCAGGAACGAGGTCATGCATTGAACGGCAGCACTCCGCTGATACTCGGCCACGGCATGACATGCGGCACAGGTACTTCACATTCCAACTCGCACGCACTCTCTATCCCGATCCGGCAACTCGTCGAACACTTCAGACTCCGCTATCACCACTCTCATTACTGACATGTACGCTTAGCAATTGCTAGAGTACAAAAGATGAATGCTAACCTTGGGCTGAGGCTTGACCGTTACTCGAATGCCAGACGACGGACGATTTTTTATTGCCATTGTGAGTAGTATTTAGTCTACAACATATCAAGCATTGCTCACAACAGAAGGGGAAGGGCTCACCGCTGGGTTTCAATATACTTGATGAAAAGCCGATCGGCAGCGCGGCAGACGGCGAGGAACCCGTCTGAGCGCGAGTCGCGGATCCTTATCGCCGATCACGTGACCGATTCCGCTTCGGGACACCTCGGGCCTCCTGGCCTCCAACGACCCCAGCGACTCTCGAATGGTTATCCTCATCCCCTCTGACTCTCATTCACTTCACCTTACCTGCCGTCAAGACCTACACTCGACATCCAGGGTCAGCAATGATTGAGGAAATTTGCTGCGGCCGGAGAAAGCTTTGATGACGGATGTTAACGTGCTGGCAGGGAGCGGAGGCGGACGCTGGGGGATTTCTGGTACGTACTCAGACTAATACGTGTCAAGTTGTCTTTGAACATACAATGGAAACAGGGTGCTCTTCCTCTGCGCTACCCGGAAGTGTAGCAACCTGTGCGTTGGTACGTCATTAATTTCTTGCTTCCGACTTCGGTGCTATCTCTTCTAGTTACGCACGTACGACGCAATCGACATGACTTTCGGAGGGTACGATTTGTCTCTCCGTACCGCATGACCAGGAAATACCTCACGATATGAGCTCCAGCATCATGTAGAACCATCGGCCCCCACGTGGAGCAGACATCATGGTGTTTCATCTGCGGTTGGAGGTTAGTGGGACAGTTGCTGGCATTAGGGCTCTCAATGTCAGGTACTTACATGGGTGTACATGTAGCTGATGCAAGTCGAGACTCCAACCGTGCCGGTGATCGAACTCGCAAGGTTGCAAAAGGTGCGGCCGGAAGGATACGACGGGCCTCGCATAGATGTTCTGGTACGTTCATTCTCAGCTTTCACATGGCTTATCTGACGTATGTTCGCTTTTCTCAGGTATCTGAAACCAACTACGTGTGTGCGCGTATGACTGGCGTTGGGAGAGGAGTCCTGTAAGGTTGGACTCGGTGGCAAGATGGAATGAATGGGCCGTCATCAGACTTCGGCACACGTAGCAATCCAACATGGTGCATTCCAGTGGATAGGAGCAATCACACGTTACATACCGAGGAATTGTCCGCTTGCCCGATCCTGTACGATGCGCAATTACGAGTTCGTTTCGTGTGTGTATGTTGCGATAATTTACGATAAAAATGTTTCTACCTGAGATACGCAAGGCAGTGGAGTACAGCATGATCAAGGGATTCGAGTGGGACAAGTTTGCTCTGTGCGGCAAGCAGAGAGAACCGCAGGGAGGGCACTCGCGCAGAGACTGCCGAAATCGCGTCATTCGTTTTCGTAAACATCTGGAGCAGAGAAGTGTCCGGGAGGACATACCTCAGAACATCGTTTGTAGACTTAGCTTTCGAGAGAATCGGTGCCGTCGTCACTATGTATGGATGCAGTTGATGCAGTGGCAGACTCATGATGCACACGATAATCATCGAATGTCTTCCTGAGCTTCAAGGCGATACCGACCGGCTCTGCGGGACGCGCGTAGGCAGAGAGAAGAAACCGAAGGTATATGCGAAGCGGCCAGAAGTCGACGTAGTCCCATAAGAACTGCCAGTCTTCATCGTTAGCGACCTGGGTATTCGTCAGCATCGGAGGTAAAGTGTACTTATCATTGCAACAACGTACCGTGCAGACGACCAAAGCGGTGGCGAACGTTGGTTGATCGTCATAAATGCGGCCGATAGCCAGCATTTCGAACGCCAACTTACAAATGCGCTCCTACATTCATGTTGCGTGCGTTCATGAGAATCAAGTTGCTCGAGTATAGACGTAGCCTCTTACCTTTATCGCTTCCCAGTGCGCATCTAAGCATGGCTCCTGCTTGATCATCGTGCTCAAGGCGAGCTTACGCCCATCAGATCCGCGTTCTCTGGATTTCTCAATGCAGTGACAAGACGGTTGAGCCATTAGGGAGGGTAGGAAGTAAAACACACCGGGGTGATGGTTGAGCACGCAGGATTATTTACACGTCTGAGCATTGCATCGTGCAATGCTTCGTTCACAGGACAGACGGAAATGGTTGTTTATTTCCTAAGGCAAACAAGGAGAACTATGGAGACGCGCTGCGTTATTGCATGTCGTCGTCGATACGCGCCCACTTTGGAATTTCTTCATCTTCTGCTTCGCTCTCGTGACTATCTTCATCTTCTGGATCCGAATCGAATTCATCGTTCACGTTATCGGTGTCTTCTGACCCACGCGCGGCATACGCTAAGAAAGGTACATTATTAGCGGCGGATATCAATATATTGAACAGATGGCTGACGTTCGAATGGTGCGTGTTCAGCGGATGTTTTGTCGACAGCTGACCCAAGGCTGGTAGAAGTCTGTGCTGCGGTGATTGGCCGCGGCATATCGGTAGTTGAAGAGGCCGCAGACGATAAATCTAGATTCCTGTCAGATTTTACGTTCTGAAAATAGTGCTCGCTGAACTCACCGGTGGCGGCTGCTACATTTCCCGTTGGGAAGGTCATCACATACACTAGAGAGGAGCGCTTACCGGCTGGGACACCAGATAGCGGACTATTTCTGATGTCAAACTCTGGTATCCAGTCGCCTCCAAGGTTGGAAATCTTGAGCAATGGTAGCCATTGTAACGCGAACACTGTGCCAAGTTTGGTAAGTATGCGTGCTTGACGGCAAGCGTAAGCGTCAAGTCCGCGCATAACGCGATCTTCTACAACCCGTAGCTCCCGCCGTTTCTCCCACCATGCCGCCTTCGCGCGGAGAAACGTCAACACACGTCGCATCTCCTCCACGAGCAACACGACTTCCTCCGCGCATCTTCGTGATCGCGCCCGTTGCCTTGCCCATTCGCCCCGCATATGTTCGTCGGCATCACGGTCGTCAGTCTCGGCAGATCTCTTCTGGGTACCAGGGACGGTCCAGATCCACGACGGCGTCCTCCTCCGTTCCGCTTCATCCGGCTGATCGTCGCGAAAAGGGCCGCGGACGTCGTCGTCAGACAGGTAATGGTAGTGCTTCGTCCAGTCGCCTGTTGGGTCCAGAATCTTGACGGCCGTGTACGATGTCTGGTAGACGTTGACAGCTTGCTGTAACTTCTTTGAGACTGACCCGAGAAGCGTTTTAGACCGTGTTCCTTCTTTCTGGCCTGACGATTCGTGAGCAAGGATCGTAATATGTGGTCAGGCTTCCTTACCTCCTAACGAATGCTTCATTTTCCGCCGAGCAGCAGTTCTAATGCATAGAAAGTGTCGGACGTTGACTAGGCCGTCCTTCATCCGTGCAGTGACGTACTGTCTCTCCTTGTCAATCACGTCGCCGACACACCCGGAGTTACGGAGCTCAGGAAGGGCGATATCAGACGGCATCAGTATCACCAGATTTTCGGCCCGAATGGTCGCTTCGAACTCTTCGCCGCTTTCTGCACGCCGAGGGGAACGGCGCGTGATGGCTGCCGGCATGTAGGAATCCTGAACGTCATACCAGTTCTGAATACTCCGATAGAGTGCTGTGCGGCGCTCCTGTAGCGTAGACATCGCCGTGTCCGTAGCATTCGCCTTCATTTGCTGTGCCTGATAACGAATGTTCCATCTGCAACAAATGGACAGATCAATCCAAGTCGTACACGCTTCAAGAGCAACCCACTGTTGATCGCGTAGAAGGAAGCCCTGTCGAATAAACGCATTCGCGGACGTCGGATGCAGCGAAGGAATCCTCATACTAGCCTCTTGCGCATCCTGTTCGGCGAGCGCTTTCCGCAGTTGACCGACGTTGATGGCTGTATTTGTATCAGTTCAGAGAACAAACTTTTGACAAAAAACTATCCTCGCCTTGTTCGGGTTCGTCGTATGGATTTGGTTTCTTGTGGTCAAGCTCCCATTGATGAATCATAGCCTCCCATTGACAGACGAGAGCTGGGCTGAATCGGGCGGTATATTCTTCGTAGATACGCTGGTGCCGTGAACACTCTAGCAACGTAGAGAGCAAAGACTTGTACATCGCCGTGCCTACGATTGATTAGTATCTGAATCACTAGGTGTCCGTAAGCTTACCCAAACCGACGGTCTTCCTAAAGTTCCAAGATCCCCAATGGTCGTTGAGCGTATGGTGACGTGCCGCGGGACCCATGTCCCGCGTCATGGTAGCAATGCCGCCGATATGGGCCCACTCCTGCTCTATCGTTTCACCATGCGTGAGGCCCGTATTTTCATGAAGAAGGAAGTTCAATTCTGTCTGGCAAAGTAATGTGTGATCGCGGATATGCATGCTCGGAATAAAAAATCGTATGCCAAGTCCCCCAAGCACCGCAAAAGTGGTGGGGAGGGTGGCATGTCGTTTCCAAAGGTTCTGTTTCCATTGGCATGCGATGTCATAGCTGATAGCGATCGGAAGCATGCAGCCGACGAGAAGAAGCGTGGACCACAGAATGTAATCCATGGACACGTACCTGGAAGTGTTCAGCGTGTCTCTTTGGGATAGGACGGAGAAATACGTACTTCTCTCCTTTCTGTAGATCGGCGACTCCGTTAGGCCGGACAACGCATGTCTTGCGCATTTAACGGCGCCGACGCCGCTCACAGACATAACACCGGGCTTGGAATTCGTCGAGTTCATGTGTTTGATCGCATTGAACGTCGAGTCGCACGGAGCTGTAGTCTATGGGAAGGATCAGTTCGTATTCGATATACAACTGTAGAGCAATCGCTGAAGTTTCACCTCCTCGACCTCGACGTACGACTTGAGATGTTCCTGGTATGGAGCTTCTGCAACACAGTATCCCCAACCACTGCCCAGTTCCGGATCGTTGATCTTCCTATCCTTGTTCTTCAGACGAAAGCAAGCATCGAGCGCGAGGAACAACGTGTATATCCATCTATAGATATGCAAATGATTAATGAAGTCCACACGGATACACGCAAGCCGACCTTTGTTCGGGGGAACATTGATCCCAGTCGTCTGGAATATTCCAACCCGGTTGAGGGCATGCGGGGCATAGAACGGCGAGGGCACCGTTTGGTGTCTCGCTGATACCTAACGGGTCGTGTCCACGAGCTGCCCGCTTGAGCAACATGAGATGAGACCATTGTCTCGTGGCCAATGTCGCTTCATGATATCGTGACTGAGATGCGGCGGCTCATCAGTCTTCGTGAATAGCATAAGTACCTAACTTACCATTGGTTTGTTTAGTCCAGCGTTGTCTGTTTTGTGCGTGACCGACAGATAGTAGTCGTGAAGCGAGATCTTGCCCTGAAGCGTAATGCGGTGGAATGTGTCGAGAAAAGCGAACGTGAATGCCGTGCGGGGGTCCTGACTAGAGGCCGGATACCACCCAACATCGAGTAGTTGCTTCCACGGCGGGGTAGCCGAGCATACGCAGAATCGAATATCGACCGAATGGTAGCCATTCGCGTCGAAGACAAGGAACGACTTGTGCGCAGGGTGAGTTCCACTGCACGGCTCGCCAGGAGGGTGTCCTAGGCAGATTTCAAGCCCCAGCTCGCGGAGCGAAGTCGGCCAGAAGCAATCATTATCCCAGTACTGTCCGATACGTTAGGTTATACGACTGAATCTTGCAATCACTCACTTCAATGCGATGGAGCGGGAGGCTGCTATGGTCGGTCACCATACAATCCTTGCACATCATGCATCCTCCCAAGCAATCCTGACAGCGGTACTTCCCGGGTTGTGTTGAAGAACAGCAAACGCCGCAAGGAGCAATGGCATCAGCCGGCAAAGCTTCCTGGGCCAACAATCCGTCGAGGAACTTGGACCTCATTTCACGAATCCACTGTCGCATACGGTACTGATGGAGCTACGTCATATTTCCTCACAACGATTCCATGACACTCACCCCAATCGTCTTCGTCGGCAACTTCCTCTGTGGACGCTGCTTCTTGGCGGTCCCCGCATCCTTCGATCCACTCCCCGAAACAATTCCCCTTTCATCTTGATCCATGGAAACAGGCGTAGCTTCATCCTGAGATGCGAGAAACTCGTCGTGCGTTCGTTTGGCATGTGTGATGGTGGTGCTAAGCCGTCCTGTTCGTGCCGATATCTTCAATTCTATGTCTCTTGCAGTTACCAGTGCCGTTTTCGCGGGTTCATTTCCAAGAAACTTTGGTATTTTGATCTTGCGGGGCATAAAGACGTAGCGGGCGCACGTCGGATTCTTAAGCAATAGTAGCGGGTGAGGAGGAACGTGAACGCCAAAGGTAACTTGTGCCAGCGAGCACAGGAGATGACCACGTGGGCGCATTGGTCTGGCAAACGCCACATTCTCAGCCGAGGATTTTGTGATGCGGGATCGTAAGGCAACGAGAAAGGCGAGCGGTAATACAGTACGCCGCCTTAGACAGCTTGGTGAAGCTTCGGTGAAGCCCCGATAGCACTGCAATGCTTGTCAGATCAAGATTTCATCTGAGATCGAAGATCGAATCTCACGGTCTTGCCAATCTTACCGTTTGCTAATCGCAAATTCATTCATGATCTTGAAGATGATGCCGAATCGCATCCACGTATCGAACATAGCCAGCGTGAAGCAACAACGTTAAAGTCTACCTGATCGCGGGGAATCACATACCAGCTCAGTGATATTGGCTCCGTTGTGACGAGTGGATCCCGAAGTACTACCGGAACTTTACTAGATCGAAGCTCGTCGTTTCCGAGTCCTGCCTACCACCTGGTATCGGATTCTAAGCTGCCTTCGAAACCGAGCGCAAGTATGAGTGCAGTAAAGCAGATACGTGGTAACATTCAACATCGATGTATGACTCGGAGCATCACTGATCGGAATCATCGCTCGCGATGTATGGAGGTTCGAGCGTATACTCCTGTACACCTGTTGAGGAGATTTGGAATCTGTGTAACTGCCTAGATTACTTTTATCTGTGTAGGTGTACAGATGGACGTACGCTCTCCGATCTGCATCGGGTACGCTTCAGAAGACGACGCGATAACGAGCTAAACAAGATATGTTCGGTTGGTCGAGTGGTTGCTCTCATAGCGTGTATTGCTGAGGTATTGTGGAGTCAACTGAGTATGTATCATATTGGCCCATTGCGCTTGACGAGGTCGATGAAAAGGGTCGTGGGATGCGACGTCGTGTGGTCAAGTCACGATGTCGGAAGCATGAGTGCTCGCAACTGTTCCTCCGCTATTCTCCATCCCAGCACCAAAATGTGCAGTAACCAATGAGTACGTATTCATTGAGACAGCCGTTATCTACATGGATGGACCTTCAGGCGGTGATGCTAGGCATGATGAGGATGAAAGGCGGGGTTCATGACATTCAAGCAGACACATACGGCATGTATGGTACTGGAATCGAATCTCACGATCTCATCAGTCTCACCGCCAGCTCAGATAGCTCTAAGGTTCGTCCTTGATATATCCTCTGACGGTAATGTTGAATGACATCTACATATTATCGACTATGGTAAGCGTAGGGGGAAAACGTTGACACCTGCCTGATCACGGGGAACTAGATACGAGTTCAGTGACATTGGTGCCGTTGTGATGAGTGAATGCCAAGGTACTATCGGAACTCTACTAGCTCGAGGCTTGTCGTTTCCGAGTCCTGCCTACCACCTGGTATCGGAATCCAAGCTGCCTTCGAAACCGTACGCAAATATGAGTGCAGTAAAGCAGATACGTGGTAGCGTTCAACATCGATGTATGACCCGGAGCGTCACTGATTGGAATCATTGCTCGCGATGTATGGAGGTTCGAGCGTATACTCCTGGATACCTGTTGAGGAGATTTGGAATCTGTGTAACTGCCTAGATTACTTTTATCTGTGTAGGTGTACAGATGGACGTACACTCTCCGATCTGCGTTGGGACGCTTCAGAAGACGACGCGATAACGAGCTAAACAAGATATGTTTGGTTGGTCGAGTGGTTGCTCTCATAGCATGTGTTGCCGGGTCGTTGGTATATGACTTGTCTTATCCCATTGCACTTGACGAGGTTAAGGGATGGGGTGGCGGGATGCAAGGAGACGATGTCGACGATGCCGTCGAGGCGCAACGTCGAACGACTATCAAGTGCTCACATTTGTTTCTCCGCTACTGTCCATTCCTGCACAAGACCAGCATGATGCGACACGTAATGAATATTGGCATGTTATAATGTATGTGCGGCAGTACATTTTGTGTTTGAGCGGATAGGTGATACATAGATTCGAGAATCGTGGGATGACGAGAAAACATACAAAGTGCCGAAGTATATACGCAGCGAACATTTTTTATTAGGCGCTCGAACAGGCTGTTTCCCATGAACGCGGGGGCGCCGGCACCGGCACGCAGCAGCTCCATCGCATGTCAACGAGCAAGAAATGGCAAAATATGCTCCGAGTGATTGTCAGCAAAACAACCATAACTCTGTGTGAATGATCAGTGGGATGATCGTACAATAGACGGTCCAACTGACCGAGGAGGGATCGACACGTGCAACTCCGATCTGGATTACCAACGCAATATATTATCAAGACGAGGACGAGGCATCGCGCGATGCCGTATCATTATTGCCACCTGGCCCGTTTGAGGATGAACGATAGAAAGGATAAAAACCCGACATAGGAAGCGGAGCAAAAGTAGGGGATGGCGTGGGGGAACCCCTCGACGAGGGCGGATTGGACGGCGGCGGAGAAGGCGGGAGGGGCGGGGCAAGACTGTAAGTAGCGAAACGACCAATTGGAGATGCTTCGTCCAGCAACTCGTATACGGGCGATGGGGACGGAGGAGGGGCGCGCGGGAAGCTGAACGGCCACGGGGAATTACTGTAGCGTGGAGCAGGCGTCACTGTTCACGCGTCAGTCAAGGTCGAAAAGCTAAAGAGATATGCGTACCAAGCCAGAGGTGACAGAGCGAAGACAACATCCTGAACGCTGATTGGGCCTCGTTCAAACGTCTGGGAGATGCCTGTACCGCGGATGCGGTAGACTCTTGCTCCCGGCGCTCAGTTTGGAGCGTTTTCGTCGCCTTGAGAAGCGACTCGTAACCTCCTTCCTCCATGAGGGGCCTACAACAAAACAAGCAGTGAGCGCGGCAAGCGGCATCAATAGAAAACAGTGCGAACGTGTTGTGACGAGACGGACCGCTGGTGAGCGCAACACCTGCAGCGTAACCGCGAGAGCTGAGCGAGAGTTGCAGGAGTTATAGCGACGATGAAACGGGGGGAAAGGAACTTGGCCGCAAACGAAGGAGAGCGCCGCTTTTAACTTCAAAGGCGCGCAGCGGGCAGATACCTGTTGCAAGGCTAGACTTATGGCACGACTCACGGACGATCAGGGTGCTGAGGATCAGGGTACGACAAGTAGGCGGGACTCGCGTTTGATGGGGCATGCGGTTGTGGATTGCGGCGAACATGTGTCAATGCGCAAGGGATAAGAACCACGAGTAGCACTGCCTTGCCCTATCACAGCGAGCACGAGGAGATCTACACCCATGACTCGGGCACGAAGAAGTGCGCATCAAATCGCGCGCTGACACGAGTTTGCGTATATGACAGTATACATGCCATGACGGAATGTGAAAGCATGATGTCCCTCGGACAAAGAACCTATCTTTCCCATAGACAACGAGAGACACTTAGTTCGAAGCTCGGATATAGGATGAAGCAAGGCGAAAAGCCGCTGTCACCGCTATCACATGATGCCACAAACTGACAGCGGTGAATCGGCGGCAGGAAGGAGCGGGGCCGAGTGTCGAGGACGACTCGGCCTGTATTGGCGCGTCAGCATGAAGACACCGCATCTCCTGGTTAACCTCCTCACGATCCGTGGAACTAATCATGAATGACGACACGCAGAGTATATGTTACATACTGAGCCTCGGGAGGGCCGTATTACTGCTTTACACCGGAGCTGTAGTAATAGAATATTACCTTGGGTGTCGTGACCGGGGCGACGAAATGTACCGTACACATGTGGAAAAGATATGGTGTCGAATGAATACCATGGGCGATGATACTCGCGATTCGCATGTTGTCGAGCCTAACAACCTGCAATCGTTAACTAGACATCGCGGATGTCACTACAAACTTCGCAGAGTTAATATGGAATTTGCGGATCATGGTAAAAACCGCACCGGACCAGATCTTCAAACCCCTGTGGACGATGCCAGTGACATAAGGGCCATCAAGGAAATGGGGCGTTGACATCGGTGTCTGTATCAACCTCGCAAGGTCAGTGTCTTGCCTTCGGGAAATGCCGCAACGAACTCGATGGTCGGGTTATCGAGCCAAACACGAGTTCAACTTGCTGTTGTTGACGAGTGTCAAGATCAGAGAGAGAGGAAATGCACAGACACACATATGTGGCAAAGACGTCCCGTAGTATCGTCACGGCGGAGACAATCTGAATGAATATCATGGACGATGATACTCGCGATTCGCATTTTGCCGGACCTGACAACCTGCGATCATTGCCGCAGACGTTGCGGATGCAACTACGAACTTCGCAGAGTCAATATGGAATATGCGGAGCGTAGCAAAAATTGCACCGGTGCAGATCGTCAAACCCCTGCGCACTATGCCGATGACATAAGGGCCGTCGAATAGATGGGGCGTTGACATCGGCGCCTGTATCAACCTCGCAAGGTCAGTGTCTTGCCTCCAGAAAATGCCGCAGCGCACCGGAAGGTCAAGTTTGATTACGAAGGCCGTCGTTTCCGCTCTCGATGTATGATTTTGGTGAACAACCACGAGCGACTGGGTCATGTACTATCAAGTTCGCGGCAGGTAACGAGTACCACAGTGCATCGGATGTTCAAGCCACTGGACGAGTCCTTGAGGGTGTTGCTGCATCAGTGTCACGTATCACCTCAAACACATCACCGCGCCATCATGAAATTCAAGGAAAATGCCGAAAGGCGGCGGATCGTTGGGCAGGCGTGCAACAGCCTATTATAGAAGACATCTGGAATGTGTCCCATCGGGAACGTGCGCGATGAGACTCATAGCAAAAAAAGAGGAGAAATTTTACTGATACCATTCTGTGCAGTGAAACATCGCGTAGAAACTACACGACAGGCACCGGCAAAGCTTGGCGCGCACGATGTCATGCCGATTTCTTTCCTATGGCAGCTATCGTCGACGTTGTATCAGATCCAGACCGAGTACTGGAGGAGAATGTGGTGAGACGTACCTTGAAGAACAGCCACTCTGTCGGTAGATGCAAGATTTTGTTGTGGGATCGCCACGAAGGAGGCGGAGAGCTGCATTTTGCTGAGGTATATAAGTTGACTGAGCTTTAAGGAAAGTAACGCAATATACTGCGATAGCCCTCGGCCCAACTCCACTGCGCACGATTTCGCTATGTCCCGTCCATCTGTTTTCAACGAGCAGGAGAGAGCTTTCTTCTCCACCTTATGCATCGACTACGTGAATTCTGGCACCGATAAGAAGGGCTTCTACGGCCGTATATGGGGTCAATATCTTCGCAAGTTCCCCGTGATGCCTACCGAGGACGAGATCCTTGAGAACGGTGGAGATGTGATGAAGGCGTTCAAGTGTGCCGCGTGCGCTGAACGTCGCGCGCATCGACTCGCGGTATGATATCTCTCTTGAAGTGACGCTGCGAGATACTGATCAGACGCCAATTCGGTTCATAGCAAGCTACATACTGGTTCCAGAACAACGCAAAACGCATTGCCGCCTCACTTATACCCGGTCTTGCCGCTCCAGTTCGCGCCCGAACGCTCGATCTCTCGAACAAAGAGAAGAGAAAACCCCAGGTGCGTTTCAGCATGTGAGACTACCCTCCGTCTTCTGACATGTCGACTAGCTCCCGCATGCTTGGATACGTCTTTTCTATCATAAGCCCGAGGTGAAGGCCGCGTTCGATGTGGTATGGAAGGCAGCGACGGACGCCGGTTGGCCAGAGAAGAAACAAGCGTCGTTTCGTAACAAATGGGCATCCGAACAGTATCAGGCGGGTGACGCCCAGACGAGAGCACTGGTGGACAAGTACCGTGAGAAAGGTTACCTCAAGGACGACGCCGAACGCTACATCGATATTGATCCTGACGACGACGACGATATGATCCGTGCTAAGCAAGTTCAAGAGTGAGTACGATGGTCACTTGTTCCGCTCCTCATCTAACTTTTCTCAGGTACCTTGATAATCTACCCCACACGCTGCAACGCGTTGTGGAAAGCCTCCACAAGCAGACCGGATGGCACTTCAGTGTTACTTGCGGGGGGCGTCTACCTCGTGCCGGCGGGGACGTAAACACTTTGCAGTGAGTTGAAAAAACTGAGGATACTTAGGTCATTGCTGACGTGCATTGTTTAGTTTGTCTATGGGACAATGCAAGCAAGGAATAGATTATTCGTCCTGGAATTCTGACCACAAAGCGGACATAGAGAATTTTCGACAATTCTGCAATGAAACTTGGTGTGAGTTGACTCCTTTGTAACTTCAGACGAAAACAAAATCTGACAGAAGGTGTAAATAGCAAAAGATGAATGTCTGGCGATGAGTCTCGAGAGATCTCAAACAACATCGCCCACCTATTCGACGTCAACTCCTGCAACTCCTGCACTTCAAAAGGAGTACGACTCTATGATCGACCCCGCTTTGATGGATATGACTCTGGTTGGCGATGCGACATCTCTAGACGGCCTCAGCCCCGCGTTCCTTGCTGCCGCAGCTGCATCTATCACGGAACAAGTTCTTGCACCCTCGTCAGGAAACGCAGTCCCTTCGAAAAGGCGCCGCAAGGCCCAGGATGTCGCCACCAACCACAAGAAAGCAAAGACTCGTCGCAATGCGGAGCTTCTTGCGCAGGCCGAAAGTTACGCATTCTCTGAGCTTTCCCCTCTCGGTGCCGCGCCGCCTCCTGACACCGCGCCGCCTCCTGTCGCGTCTCCAGCGGCGCCGCCTCCCACCTCTGAGCTTTCCCCTCCTGGCGCTGCACTGCCTCCTGATACTGCGCTGCCTCCTATCGCGGCTGCAGCGCCTCCGCCTCCCGTCGCAGCTGCAGCGACTCCGCATCCCGTCGCGCCCCAAGCGCCGGCCGCGCCTCCAGCACCTCTGCCTCCCGTCGCGGCTGCAGCGCCTCCGCCTCCCGTCGCAGCTGCAACGCCTCCGCCTCCCGTCGCAGCTGCAACGCCTCCGCCTCCCGTCGCGGCTGCAGCGCCTCCGCCTCCCGTCGCAGCTGCAGCGCCTCCGCCTCCCGTCGCGGTCCAAGCGCCTCCGCCTCCCGTCGCGGTCCAAGCGCCTCCGCCTCCCGTCGCGGCCCAAGCGCCTCCGCCTCCCGTCGCGACTGCAGCGCCTCCGCCTCCCGCCGCGGCTGCAGCATCTCCACCTCCTGCTGCTGCTCTCGTTGCGTCATCAGCTGCTGCGACTCGCGCTGTAACACCCTCGGTTGTACGGGTCCCACGCAAACGGCTCGGCTCGTCGCCAGCACCCAACGATGGAATGGTTGACTTGGACTCGGACGGCGATGAGGGTGGCGAAGATAATACACCACTTGGGGTTACTCCGTCCGATTTGGACGAAGAGGAGCGTAATGAACGGGTGAACTCTGCAGCTGCCAAGCATCCGGCGGCCACCTCTCCTAGCAACTCTAAGCAGAATCCCAAGGCTACTACACCCGCGGCTATCTCTTCTCGCAAGTCCAACCGCGTCCGCAAGGCGTCAACGAAGCTTGCCGCCTCCGAGAGCTGCCAATTGGACACGACGCTCCCGATCGTTGAACTCATCGCACAAGTGGAAGCGGACTCCAGCCTTCCGGAGTACTTCGCGTCCGCGGTGAGGTTCATGGGTTCTCAAGACTACGGCTCGCACCTCGAGTTTTTGCAAATGGTCAAGGTGTTTATCGTATTCGAAGCCAAAGGTCAGTTCATCGTACGAAAAGTGAGTACCGTGTATCGGATGTTAGTAGATCGTTCTCATTTGCCCTTCTAGACCCGTACCAAGATCACGAATCGCCCTGATATCATTCGGAGATGGATGACAGGCGAGCAACGTGACTTTGAGAAGATGAAGTCAGACAACACCCCTCGGGATGTAGTGGGGTGGTTCTGCTGGTGGGCGACCCTTCAACCCGGATGGCGTAAAACCACTATGCCCCATTCTCGTACTCCCCCGCCGAATGCTCAATATCCCGAGCTGAAGTATGGCCGCCTCGGCGTCGTCACAATCGTCGCTTCGCTTGTCTGTATTTACTTGTCCACCGAGGAGCCGAAGCTTCGCGAAAAGCTAGCCGAAGGTGCGAGTGATGTATGCTGGGTCCTGACAGTAGCTGCAACGGGAACGGGCCAGTCCGCGAACGACGAGGAGGGAAAAGAAGGCCAGCCCCCTCGCAAGTAGGTGCGCATTGCAATCTCGATTACCGGTAAAGATAATGAGGATCGGCACCATCAGACGCCCTCGTCTATAGTGATATGACTGTTTTCGTATTGCCTTTGAATGTAGAAATGCCTAGTATTATCATCTTAATGGATATACGCGCTGCACTTGGTGCAAGGTCTTATGAGCTTAATGCCGTCGAATCAAAGATTCATAGATGTTGATTAACATGCAGTGTATGATATCGGGTTGACACGGTAACATTCTGGGTGATACAATACTTAGACCGAGAGTTACGACGCAAGGCAAAAAACGGCCGTCTGCCAGTTCATCGGCTGACGCAGAGTGAATAACAATGAGATATGTTTGATTTAATGCGATGCAACCTATTGCTGAGATTGCATCGACGTACAAGCATGTTGGGTGGTTGCTATGATATCCGGCCGAGGCGGACTCGGGTGACAGGTCTATCCTCCTCGTGCATTAGCAGAAGTTTATCCGCAAGACGACGTGGACGTACTGATATCCACGACACGAGACCTCGTCGAGATGTTGCTGAGGTACTTGGTTGAGGTCGGGGTCGCGCCGCACGGTCTGCCCTTCTCAAGCTCTCGCTGGAGTTTGTCGTAGAAGTGATGCGGGCGTGTTTGCGGCCGGTATGAATCCTCTCGGAATGCTGCTAGAGTATGTGGCCGAGGTCGGGATCGAGCCGCGTGGATCGCCCTTCCCAAGTTTAGCTGGAGTTTGTCAGGAAGAGAAAGCAGACGTGCTAATACTTACGGCCCGCAACCTTGTCGAGATGTTGCTGAGGTATTTGGTCGAGGTCGGGGTTGCGCCGCACGGTCTGCCCTCCTCAAGCTCCAGCTGGAGTTTATCATGGAATCGGCGCGGGCGTGCTGGCGGTCCTGGCATAAAACCTCGGAATGCTGCTGGGGTTTCTGGCCGAGGCCGGGGCAGAGCCGCGTGGATTGCCCTTCCCAACTTTAGCTGGAGTTTGTCAGGAAGAGGACAGGGACGAACGGTATTCACGGCCCGCAACTTCGTCGAGATGTTGCTGAGGTATTTGGTCGAGGTCGGGGTCGCGCCGCACGGTCTGCCCTCCTCAAGCTCCAGCTGGAGTTTATCATGGAATCGGCGCGGGCGTGCTGGCGGTCCTGGCATAGAACCTCGGAATGCTGCTGGGGTTTCTGGCCAAGGCCGGGGCAGAGCCGCGTGGATTGCCCTTCCCAACTTTAGCTGGAGTTTGTCATAAAGAGGACAGGGACGAACGGTATTCACGGCCCGCAACTTCGTCGAGATGTTGCTGAGGTATTTGGTCGAGGTCGGGGTCGCGCCGCACGGTCTGCCCTCCTCAAGCTCCAGCTGGAGTTTATCAAGGAAGTGTCGCGGGCGTGTTTGCGGCCGGTGCGAATTCCTCGTAATGCTGCTAGAGTATGTGGCCGAGGTCGGGATCGAGCCACGTGGATCGCCCTTCCCAAGTTTAGCTGGAGTTTGTCAGGAAGAGAAAGCAGACGTGCTAATACTTACGGCCCGCAACCTTGTCGAGATGTTGCTGAGGTATTTGGTCGAGGTCGGGGTTGCGCCGCACGGTCTGCCCTCCTCAAGCTCCAGCTGGAGTTTATCAAGGAAGTGACGCGGGCGTGTTTGCGGCCGGTGCGAATTCCTCGTAATGCTGCTAGAGTATGTGGCCGAGGTCGGGATCGAGCTGCTTGGATTGCCCTCCTCATGCTCCAGCCCGAGTTTATCTCGGAGAGAGCGCGAGCATGCTAACGTGTTATCAGAGCCTCTCAGGCTGTTGCTGGGGTGTATTGTTATGGGCAGGATCGACCAAGGAAGGGAAGACTTCTGGTTTGCTGGGGTTTCTTGCCGAGGTTACCATGTTGCCCATGCTGTGGAAACTCCACGTGCCATATACATAGCTGCAGTTTGTGGTCAGAAATCGGATCATATTGGATCGCATACGAGGACTGCACATATACCCGATACTGCAGCGATTTATCGTCGTGCTTCAGCGACCCTGCGATTCGGCTGCTACTGGATTTTGTGGCCAAGGACTGGACAGCGTCGTGCCCGTTTCCGGGCTGCACTTAATGGTACTGAGATGTGTTTTGCTCTCTAGTCGCCGTTTACATTGTGCGATACGTGCCCGATACCTATTGATCAGTGTTCATAGGGCGATGACGTTTCCGTCATAATGTAATCACCTTGACTTTCCCTCGACGTTGCGCGTCTGTTAGTTTGATCTTGATAGCGACAGCGTAATCAGGTACCTTGTAGAGCGGTCGTCCCGTACACGTAGCTATAGGGCGGTCATCGAGGACGAGCTGCCATAGGTTTATTACACAGCCGTCATGACGGTGGTGGCACGTGCTAAGGAAGGTGGGGGTCTATCCAGCTCTCATATAGCCGGAGTTTATACTGTATGAGTATGGGTACGAGGCGTATGTGGGTACTGAGGCTGATGCCGCGGTTTGTTGTCGAGACGCGCGAGACGTGCGAGGCACGCGAGACTCAGTTAGCAGGCAGTATGTGTATGAGGTTCTGGTGGCAATAGCTGTGAATTGTACGACAGGTTTGGTCACTAGCATTGATACGAGCCGGTTCAGGCCCAAACGGACGTTCCCGACACGTCCCCTGCAGTACCGGCAGCAGCGTCATCTGTGTTGGCTAATTACTGTGTACAATACATCCCAGTAACACATACTCTGAGGCTCCGTGCTGGCGCTGCTAACCGGTCGTGGGTGCCGATCGTGTCGTGTGTACGCATCACAGGGGCCTGCGTCTTGGGTGGTGGGCAAAGTTATACCATGCGGCACCAGCGTGCCTCTCGCGTCTTGGTCGGTGACTCCGTGCTGGTGCTGCCAGCCAGCGGGTGCCAATCGGATGTCGTGTCGTGCGTCAGACGGCAAGGGCGGGGGGGTGGAAGCTGCGAAGGTCGTATCGTGCATGCGCATCCCGGAGGCCTCATGTTCTCCGGTGTTGGGCAAACTTGTGCGACGCGGCACAAGCGTGCATCTGGCGTCCTCACCGGTGGCTCCATGCTGGCACGGGGGATGGAAGCTGTGCCGAGCGCGAGCGCGTTGGCGGCTCGCGCTTGGCGTTGGGCGAAAGAGGGCATAGGGGATGGAAGCAGTGTACGATACTTTATGACCGCACCCTGCATCAACTAAGGTGTGCGCAGCTACGAGTGCAGGCGTGACTGTCGAAGACAGGGCACGGTTGATGCCGAGTGCAGACGCGACTGACGAAGAGGACGGGGCACGTTTGACGGCGAGGGCGGGGGGCGATTGACGACGGGCGGGGCGCGGCTGGCGACGGGCGGGGTGCGGCTGACGGTGAGGGCGGGGCACTGTTGACACTATATGCTTGACACCGAAC